CTTTGAAGAGATTGATAGCTCAAGGTAAAGTGAAGCAAATTTGGGTTCCAAAAGGAACTTTAAGCACTAACCCCCATGGACCCAAGCAAATTTGGGTACCAAAAATCAAAACTTAATTTTGTTTGTATGAAAAGTTGATGGCAAAGTCATAAGGAAATCAAAGTAGATCTTAAAAAAGACTTATGCCTCAACAAGAATGTTGGAGTGGAAGTGCAAAGGAAATTTGTTTTTGAATGCTCCATTCATGTGCTCAAATTGGTATTATTTATTTTATTGTATTTATTCATTGAGTATAATTACATTAGCATGACTATTAATTATTGGTTTATGTGTGCTCACTCTTTGATACATATGCTTGTTGAGTATGATTTCATTTGATGTGTCTTTCCTAGTGCTTGATATGATTTTTGAAATTAATGAATTTGATTATTAGAATTTGTGTATATTGTTGCTTTGATTTGTGTACCTTGATTATATTCATGATATTTGATGATGCATACATTGATATATGACTAAAGTTGCATTATCTAGTAGTTGATGTCCAATTTAAACTTAGTTAAATGAAGAAATATCAAATTAAGGTGCATTCCCTTCAAAACAGCCCCAAACTTTCTGTTTGTCCCAATCAAGGCCAGTAGAGTCGGCTCATCCCTTTTCACAGCCGGTTCAACCAAAAACCCGAGAGTGTTCTTTCTCTACACCACAACCGGCTCTAGGTTCACAGCTGGCTCAACCCAAAAAAATCGAGAATCTTCTCTCTCTAGACCACAACCGGCTCTAGGTTCCCTAGCCTACTCAAACCGCAGGCGACCTGACTCGGACCAGCTTTACAGTCGGCTCTGTAATTATAGCCGGCTCTCTTGTAGAATTTTTAAATATTTGGGCTTCTCGCTCTTCAAACCAGATCTGCCATTTTCCTCTCCCAAAACTCGCCATTCACGCTCCCAAACACCAAAATCCTTCTAAATCTCCAAAGCCCATCCCTTAAACACTCAAATATCTTCAAATCCTTACCTACCCAACACAAATTCACAAGCTTTTTGCTCTAATTTTGGTTGGGTTTTGCTGAGTTCTCTCTCTCATGGCTTCAAGAAGGGGCAGAAGCAAGAGGAAACAGATTGGGAGTTCCAGTGCCGATGGCCAAGCCCAGGAAGAAGGTAACGTTGTTGATAATGCTCTGTTTGTGGATGATGATGCCATTAATCGCTATAATTTTGTCAAAAACTTGGCTATGCTACCATGCAATTGTGTGAAGTTTAGTCAATTTCCTCAAGGAGATATGCTTGTTGAACAGATATTTAGAGATATTGGGTGGATAAATTATTTAGAAATTAAGGAGCTTGTGTATCATGAAGTAGTTCATCAGTTTTATGCTAATTTGAAACCAAAAAAAGAATACATGCCGCACCATGGTTTTTGGGATATCATTTCAATTTTCACCAAGAGAAATTTGTACTACATTAGAAATACTTGAATGAGGAGATGATTAGTTTGAAGGTGTAAATATATCTGAAGTTAAAGCCACAATTGCCCCAAATTGTACTGCTGGACAAATTAATGTGGGATTCCTTACACCAGAACACAGAGCATTGTAGTGGATTATTAGTCGCATTCTTGCTTAGAGAAAGGGTTCCAAATCTGTTGTACTTAGTGGTGATCTCTTATGGTTTGATTATTTTCTCAAAAGGAAGAGGTTGAACCTTGGAAGATTCATTTACCGGAACCTAATCAAGAATTATTCGTCAAACATGGGTCTTCCTCATGGTGCTTTAATTACTAGATTGGTGAAGAGGAACAATATTGATCTTACACACTTTATGCTTGGAAAGGCTCAAAGTGGGACTACACTCAATAAAGCTTCCTCTAAAAAGATGCAAGTTGTGTTTCGAAGTGGTAGTTGGATGAAGAAAGGGGATCAAGCAATGGAACAGCAAGATGATGAAGAAGAAGGTGGTATAGATCAAGAAATGGCAAAACAAGGGGAAGAAAAACATGCAGATGACAACCCAAGACCCTTTCAAGCCTTCATGCAGAGGACAAACCGTGAAACCATGGAGCTAATGATATTTGAAATGTGACAGCTACACACCGACTTTTATGGTTTCCGACAGAAATGAGAGGAAGAATGAATAACGTGGAAGGAAAGCTTGATCGGCTTGTTAACCATTTTTTTCCTCCACCCCCACCTCATGCCACCTAACTTGATATTTCTTTAGTTTGGCTAATCTTTAAGATGGACATCTTAGGGTTATGCATTTTATGTTTTATTTGACTATGGATATGTCTTGAACCTTTTTATCTTGTTTTATGAATGGAAATGGCATCACGTGTGTTATCATGCTTTGTGAATGGTTGTTGATGATTTTGATGATAATATGCTCTTATTGAGGGGGAGTTTATTGGTTGATGACTATATTCATGACTTTGGTTGTCTATATTGATGATGATTGATGATTATATTCATTACATACTCTTGATGCTTTAAAGGTTGATAGCATGAATTAAAGGGGAGTTTATTGCTTATGTTTATATACTTTTTGATGAATGACAAAAAGGGGGAGAAAGTATGCTGAATTCTCATAATCTTCTGGAATGTCTTAATGTCTTAATGTCACATTTTCTTGGTGCTGAAATTTTGAGATTAATATTGAAGTATATATGCTTTCATGATCAAAGTGTTTTGTCATCATCAAAAAGGGGGAGATTGTTGTACCTATGATTTTGATAATTACAAAACACATTTGAGTGACTAATTGGTCTATTAAGTGTGTAGTTATATTGCCAATATACTGCAAAGTAAGCAAAATATGATTGCATTAAAAAGGGCTCAAAGGGCAAAAATGTGCAAAGAGCCGACTTAAGAAAATTGCAGCCGGCTCTGGGAAGCAAAAGTGCAGAGAGCCGGCTGCAGATTTTGTTGAGCCGGCTCTACGGGCCAGAAATTCAACTACTGTTTTGGCGCGCGCGAAAAATGGAAACAGAGCCGGCTCCAACCTTGCAGCCGACTGTGAGGGTGCATTTAATGCACAATGGTCGAGTTATTTGAAGATTATTTAATATATTTAAAATCAGAGTTCCAAAGCCAGCTCAAAGTTTTGCAGCCGGCTCTCGAGGAAAACAGAATATGCAGGAATCCCACAAAGCCGGCTGCAGAAATGGTGAGCCAGCTGTACAGAGCCGGCTCTAGGAAGTTAAGCTAGCTCTCTTGACAATCTTGCAACTCGAGCTTTGTGTCCTGCAGGGCATTTAATGACCCCCAACGGCTAGAAACAGCTATTTTCGAGCAAGGGGCTATAAATATCGTTGGTAACAGATCTAAAGAAGTTTAAAAAGTATTGTAGTGAATATCTTTACCTACCTACATGAGCTTTAACTTGAGTTTTTGATCTTTGAGAGAGCCGACTTAAGAAAATTGCAGTCAGCTTTGGGAAGCAAAAGTGCAAAGAGCCGGCTGCAGATTTTGTTGAGCCGGCTCTACGGGCCAGAAATTCAACTACTGTTTTGGCGCGTGCGAAAAATGGAAGCAGAGTCGGCTCCAACCTTGCAGCCGGCTGTGAGGGTGCATTTAATGCACAATGGTCGAGTTATTTGAAGATTATTTAATATATTTAAAGTCAAAGTTCCAAAGCCGGCTCAAAGTTTTGCAGTCGGCTCTCGAGGAAAACAGAATATGCAGGAATCCCACAAAGCCGGTTGTAGAAATGGTGAGCCGGCTGTACAGAGCCGGCTCTAGGAAGTTAAGCCGGCTCTCTTAACAATCCTGCAACTCGAGCTTTGTGTCCTGCAGGGCATTTAATGACCCCCAACAACTAGAAACAGTTATTTTTAAGCAAGGGGCTATAAATATGGTTGGTAACAGATCTAAAGAAGTTTAAAAAGTATTGTATTGAATATCTTTACCCACCTACATGAGCTTTAACCTGAGTTTTTGATCTTTGAGAGATCTTTGTTTGTAATCCTCTCCTTGTGCTATTAGTGAGTGATCTTTGGGGTGTGTTGATTCATTTAAGAGTGATATGTAGAGAGGATCTTTGGGGTTTAAGTGTAAAGGGGTGAGATTTGAGAGAAACCCTTCTTCTTGTAAAGGATTGAGTGGCTCCTTTAAGCCACCATTGTTTTTGTTAGTAGAGAGTGTAGAGGAAATCCTTAGTGAGTGAAGCTAAGGTAGAGGACTAGGCTCCAAGTGATTGGACCGAACCTCTATAAAATCATTGTACAAGCTCTTCTTCTCAACTCTCTCTTTAAATTTTGTTTGGTGGTTGCAAAGAGGTGAAAATTCTCCAACTCTAATTCACCCCCCTCTTGGAGTGCATTGAGTCAACAACGTAAACATAGAAGTGGTTGACATGTATTAAAATGTAGAGTAATATTTATGAAATTACATAAATATATTTGAATTCTCCTTCTCAGTTGATTCAGCAAGGGCATCAATTAGTTTAATGGTTGCTCTTGTATTATTTTGTAGGTTGACCTTAATATTTATAACTCATTGCAAAAGATATTTATGAGTAATAAAAAAATATTATGCAATTAAAACAACACAGTAAATGGGGCAGAAATGCATAAATAGGCATATGATTTTTTTATTTAAAAATATAAAATTTTAAAATGTTAAATTAAATAATAAACTTTTAATATTTTTATTTAAAATATCAATGTTTTCATTTTTTTTATTTCATTTAATTAAACGACCACCATGCATGAGCCAGTATGGGACGATCATACAAGATGTTTAGGGAGCCTCCACGAGAAAGTCCCTTCATTAGCCCAATATGTAAAACAGAAGTGAAAAGCATGTTGGACATTATTTGATTATTGTTATCTCTTATCTACGAGGCAGAGGTCTTAGTTTCGAACTTTGAACCACTAATCATGTGGCTAAGGTCTAATTATCCTTCCTAGGATTTTGTCCTTTTCAAGGTGTTGGGATTAGGCCCAACACCCGCTTTGGGCCACATGCAACAGGCTCAATTATACACTCATAGGCCCAAGATGAGGAGACACACCCACGTGGCCAGTAACATGTGGATTAATTGGATGAATACATGTCTGAGTTCATGTCAGTATATGGGGCTATAAATACCCCCAACTACCTCCCTACAAGGTATTAACTCCACTACACTTCTCTCTCTGCAATTACTTTTTGAGAGCATCTTTCTTTAGCATATTTAGTATTGCTAATTTGAGCATCAAAGTGTTTTCCCCGAGGATGAATTTCAGGTGTTCAAGCAGGTATTGGATCTCGAAGCTGCCCAAACATTTAGTGCTGTCTGTGGGAAACGAACGAAAAGCATTGTGACTTAACCAATACGAGCTGAAAATGGTGCGCACCTTTATAGGAAACCACCCCCCAAGAGGCAACATGGACGACCAGGATAACACTCATGTGTTGGAAAGTGATTTCAATGACTTCCAAATGCTGCCAAGAAACCTCTTCGTTGGTGGTGTAGAACAAGAACAGTCAAACACTTTAGATGATGATGAAAGAACACCTACAGGGTATGCAACCCAACTTGAAGAACAGTTTCACATCTCGTCTGAAGCCATACAAAGGCATTCCAAGCATAACACTACACGACCTGTGGAGAGACTTGTAGAATCTGCTCGGACATCTGAGCTAGAAGAAAGAACAAGAGTTTTAGAGATGGCAATGGGAAAAATTCTCTCTCGCTTGATCCCTGATGACCCCTTAATTCCCCTGCTGAATAGGGGCAAGCAACTGGCAGCAATAGTTGCAACTCATAACTCCCTGACCCTAAGCAATGTAGTGGTCCCAACCAGACCCAGAGGAAGTGGGAAGTTAAACCCAGAACCTAGCTCATCCAGGCATAATGAAGAATTACTAAAGAAGAACGCTGACCTTGAAAGAGAACTCAAAGACGTACAGAAGCCCATTGATGAGCTAAAGAGTCCCAGGTCGCGCCAGCAGGCTCTCGACTTGGATAGTGCCCCTTTCAACTTGTTCATCACAGCTGAACCATATCAAGAGGGATTTAAGATTCCTCATTTGGAGACATAAGATGGCTCGGGAGACCCGGATAAACATTTGCATACTTATCAAGTCATCATGAGAATCTAGAACGCCACTGACGCCATGATGTGCAAATTCTTTCCCGCGACATTGAAATCAATGGCCAAAAGATGGTACCACAAGTTACCTAGACATTCTATAGCCTCCTATTCAAAACTCACCACTTTGTTTTCAAACAAGTTTGCGAGTCAAAGAGAAATTAAGCGCACCGCTGCTAAGCTGATGCAAGTTCATCAGAAGAAGAGAGAGTCTTTAAAGGACTATATGCAACGGTTCAACAAGTCCACTTTGGACATTGATAATGTCCTTGATACCATCTGCTTATCCGCCTTGTTCCATGGCCTCAAACTTGGCCGGTTCCTTGACGACCTGCTAGAGAATCCACCTAAGTCATGGAATGAAGTAAATGATAGGTCGGCAAGCTTCATACTGTCTGAAGACTTTCAATCCTCTAAGCGATGAGCTGATGACAGACAGGGTAAAGAGTAAAGACAGCCTGAGGGAAGGGATGAAAAGAAAAACAAAAGGTTGGCAAGCAGAGAGGAAAACCACCTTCCTTTCCAAAATATGACAGTTACATTCCACTGAACTCATCAAGGTCCCAGATATTGGCGCAGATACAACAATAGGTCAAGAGACCCCCTCCCCAAACACATGATTCCTCACAAGCTGACAGGAGTAAGTATTGTGACTATCACCATGGATATGGCCACAACATGGAAGATTGTCAAAGCTTGAAGGACGAGTTGGAATTCTTAGCCCGCAATGGAAAATTGGAGGGATATGTATAGAAACCTTATGCATGGCAACCCAATTAGACCCATTTCGTGCAAGAATACGGCTGATCTTAGGCGTAAGGATATTAGCTCGACAACAATCAAATTCCTTACTAGGCGAGTCAATACTCGTCCGAACCTAACAGAACTTATACAGGACGCCTTTCAATAGACGAGGGTAGGGACAAAAAACATCGGCACAAAATCAAAAGGACCATAGAGGTGTTGGATAAAGTGGGATACCCCTACCCATCTGGCACAATCAATATGATCTTTGGTGGCATGCATTTAGGAGGCCAAAGTGCTCGAGGTTGTAAAGTTTATGCTCATCAAGTAATGGCAGTAAATAAGAATAGACCTCTGAAACGCCCTTTTGAAGAAGCAGAATGGGAAAATGCACCAATTACATTTAGCCCAGCCGATTACAAACGGTCAGAGGAAGAACCACACGTTATGATGCCCCATGCTAACCCCTTTGTGGCGATAGTTCATATTGGCAATCATAACGTCAACAAGGTCTTTATAAACATGGGCAGCTCTTCTGACATCCTTTATTGGAGCTGTTTCTATAAGATGCAGCTAAACCCGAACTCTTTGAGGAAGTATATGGGGCAGATATACGGATTTGAAAACCAGCCCATCCATGTTAAAGGAGTGATTACCCTTCCCATCTACGTGGGTGTTTAACCATGGTTTAGGATGGCGTCAGTAGATTTTCTGGTCATTAAGATGAACTCAGCTTTTAACGCTATAATTGGAAGAGCTACACTTTGTGAATTGAAAGTTATCATCTCTCAACCACACCTCTGTATGAAGTTTCCAACTCCTCAGGGTGTAGGTGTGCTCAAAGGAAACCAGAAAATGGCTAGGACCTATTATTAAGACACTTTTAAGAACGTCGAGCTCGCAATAACTCCCAAGACCCTTGGTGCAAACGTTTCTAGACCAAGTCAGCCAGGTCAACAGACAATGAGCATATCTAACATAAACCATCGACCTGAGAATGTGGAGCAGAAGGTTGAACCAGTAGAACCGGTTGAAACGGTTCCTTTAAGCCTACATGAACCAGATAAAACAGTGAAAATAGGAACCAAACTCACACCGAAAGAAAGAACTGAGCTCCTAGAATTTTTGAAAGATAATAGGGATGTATTTGCATGGACAACGGATGAAATGCCTAGCATACCAACAAAGTTTACAGTCGACAAGCTCAGTATAGATCCCACCAAGAAGTCGGTGGTTCAAAAGCGTCGCCTTGTGGGCCTGAGAAGCAAGCAACCATAGATGAAGAAATACATAAACTATTACAGGCGGGCTTCATCAGGAGAGTTGAATATTCTTAGTGGGTATTTAACCCTGTGCTCATCAAAAAGCCCAATGGCAAGTGGAGAATGTGCATCGACTTCACCAATTTGAATGAAGCGTGCCCCAAAGATCCACATCCCTTGCCTCATGTGGACAAATTGGTAGAGTGAGCGGTGGGGCATGAATGCATGAGCTTCCTTGATGCTAGCTCGAGGTATCATCAGGTTCAACTGCTGTTAGATGACCAGGAAAAAATGGCATTTTACGCAGGGGATGTGATTTATTGTTATGTAATGATGCCGTTTAGCTTGAAGAATGCTGGTGCGACATATCAAAAATTGGTCCAGATCATCTTTAAGCTATAGATTGGTCGAAATATTAAAGTATACGTGGATGACATGATTGTAACCAGCCTACAAGCTGAGGACCATGTTGACGACCTGAAGGAGACATTTCAAAATTTAAGACAGGCGCAGATGAAGCTAAACCTGTTGAAATGTACGTTTGCTGTGGAATGAGGCAAATTCCTAGGATATGTGGTATCCAAGAAGGGAATTGAGGTGAACCTAGACAAGGTTGAGGCCGTGCAGCAAATGGAATCCCCCAAAACAATAAAGGATGTGTAGCGTTTAATAGGTCGTCTTGCCGCTTTGCACAGATTCATCGCCAGGTCGGTAGAAAGGTGCCTTCCATTCTTCAAAGCTTTGCGAGAACCAACGAACTTCCAATGGACTGATGAATGCCAGTAGGCTTTTGAGCAACTTAAGCAGTATTTGGCATCACCACCTTTGCTCTCCAAGCCTATCGAGGGGGAGACATTATATCTATATCTGGGGGTTGCAGATGAGGCAGTCAGTTCAGTCCTCTTAAGAGAGTAAGATAAACAACAAAAACCCATCTGTTACACAAGTAAAGTCTTGCAGGGTGCTGAACGAAATTATCCAATAGCTGAAAAGGCTGCTTTTGCACTCATCTGCACCGCTCGAAAGCTAAGAGCATACTTTCAATCCCATGAGATTATTGTCTACACTAACTTGCCACTACGAAAGATACTACAGAAGCTGGAACTATTTGGTTGGCTGATTGGATGGGCGGTCGAGCTGAGTGAATACGACCTTAAATTTCAACCGTGCACAACCATTAAGGGCCAAGGTTTAGCAGATTTCTTGGTAGAATGTAGATCGACGGCTGCAGAAGAAACCACACAGCCGCACCCCGTGTGGGCTCTGTATGTGGATAGGGTAGCCAATGTTGAAAGATCAGGAACGAGAGTAGTGCTACTAGGTCCAGATGGCTTCCAGTCTGAGCATGCCCTGAGGTTTAAATTTCAGACAACGAACAATGCCGTTGAATACGAAGCACTCATTTACGGTCTGAAGTTGGCCTTCAAGCTAAAAGCATAGAGCTTAAGAGTCTTCAATGACCCTCAACTTGTAGTAAATCAAGTAAATGGAAGCTGTGACATTAGAGACCCTCAGCATAGTCGATACCTGTCTGTGGTCAATAAATTGAAATCAAGCTTCATCTCGTTCCAAATTGACAAGATACCGAGGGTAGATAACCGATGAGCTGATGAGCTATCAAAGTTAGCCTCCTCACAAGACATCAGCCCTCAAAGGACCACGATAGTTGAAATACTCGACACATCAAGCTATACCGGTCTATCAGTCGAGTGTCAAGTACTGAGCATGAACCCTTCTTCACTGAGCTGGACTACACCTCTTATTAAGTACTTATAAACCGGTGAACTATCAGAGGATTCATTTGACACATGGTTGATTAGACGCAGAGCGGCACATTTTACACTGATTGAAGATCAGCTATACAAGCGAGCAGCTTCAATGCCTTTGTTGCGTTGCCTCACTCCTTATAAGGCCAAATATGATATAAGAGAAGTTCTTGAATGTGTGCATGGCATGCACATTGGAGGAAAAACCCTGGCTAGGAAGATCTTAAGGCATGGATACTATTGGCTTACCATGGTTGAGGATGCACAAAATTATGTCAAAAAATTCCCAACCTGCCAATTCAATGCTGATGACATTCACATGCTAGGTGCTTGAGCTCATTCTAAAGTTTATGCAAATTTCGTGTTTATCTATAAACTAAACATGAAAGTCTCTTTTGGCACAACCGAGAGGCTATCATCCCTTGTATCACCTTGGCCCTTCGCCCAATGGGGAGTAGATTTGCTCGGCCCTTTTGTGAAAAGCAAGGGAGGTTGCACACATCTTATAGTTGCTGTGGACTATTTCACTAAGTGGATAGAAGCCAAACCGCTGTCCACAACGACTGAGAGGAAAATAGAGGAATTCCTCTTTAATTCCATACTATGCAGGTATCCACAGTTTAAAACAAGCATGTAATATACACGTAAACATTTGTGTCTTAGTCAATTCGTTTGTACGCAGATTTGGAATTCCTATGCGAATAATTGTTGATAATGGACCTCAATTCCGAGCAGCAGCCCTCAGGTCGTTCTGTAATGATTATAACATCGGGCTGGCCCTCACGTCTATATATACACCGTAGTCAAATGGACAAGCAGAGTTAGCAAATAAAATCATTTTACGGGGTCTCAAGACATGAGTCTTAGCGACACAATCTAATTGGGTTGACGAGCTCAACAAAGTTCTATGGTCATGTCGCACCACCCCCAGTTCGACCACTGGTGAAACCCCATTTTGCCTCGCCTATGGAGCTGAGGCCGTAATCCTAGTGGAAGTTGGTTTGTCATCCAATGGGTCAACTTGTCACAATGATCATGATAATGAACAACTCCTGAGAGAAAACCTAGACTTTGTCGAGGAGGTTAGGGAGATCTCTCGAATAAAAAACATGGCCTATCAAAATCGTGTGGCTAGATTTTACAATAAAAGGGTGCGAGGTCGGCAATTTCAAGTTGGTGACTTGGTTTTATGCAAGGCTGGGCTTTCTAACGCTTACTCACATATGGGTAAACTTGCTTCGAACTGGGAAGGTCTTTATATGGTTATTTGTGTTAAGCAACCTATGTCTTACCAGTTAGCAGATCTACAAGGTCGTCAGTTACCATCGATTTGGAACATACATAACCTTAGGAAATTTTATAGTTAATGTGTATGTTATTATCTTATCAATAAAGTGTAGGCGAAAATGTAAAAAATGTACACAGCAATAAACGCAGAAATTTCAAAGGAAAATCTTCAAATTTGTATTCCCATTAATGTTCTTTACATTTGAAGTACAAGAAATGGAAATTCAAATGATGAATGGATCCACTAATCAATACAAAAATACAAAAGAAATAAAGAAAGTCCTAAGCTAGTCATTCGTCAGGTTGACGAAGATAGACACGTCAGTACGCGCAGCAATAAATCGAGCAGGAGATGACCAATCTAGAGGAGAGAGAGTAGGAGCAGCGGCGGGCTGAGAGGCTGGGGGAATGTTAGACGGCTCAGCAGGTACTTCTTGGGGCTCTACCACCCAAGCATCAAAGCTTGGCAAACCCTCAGTATCCTCCCCCCTCTTCAATAACAAAAGGAGGCCACACTGGCACTCCCTCTTCATTCAGCTCCCACTTCAGCTTCACCTAGGTGTCAGCTGGAGGGGCGAGGCTCTTTCCTTGTTCGTCCATCTCCTCCCCCTCGAAGAAGGCCAGCTGACCGATTGGAAAGTCAGTCTAGTGTTGCAGCACCTTCCCACGAATCTCGTTGAAGATGTCTGTGGTGGTGTTGGCTGAGGCAACTACCACGACATCCTAGAACATGTCTGCTCCAACCAGCCACTCAGCTCCTTGTGCTCGAGCAAAGCAGATAGCGTGTTGGTGGTGCCTCTTACTTTGCTCCAAAGACGCCTCAACACGGGCGACATGCTGATTAGCTTCCACAACCATATCTTTTAGGGAGTTTAGCTCGTGAAAAGCCTTCTCCCTATCTGATTCCGCCTTTTTGGCCCGGTCTTCAGCACAGCTGGCCTCCTCCTTGGCAGCTTGACTGCCACTTTCCTTCTTTGCCTGAGCTTTTTCCAACTCCTCTCTCAACTCGTTGACCTTGCGGGCCAACTTGTCAGCTCAGCTCTTCACTGACACTGCTCAGTTCGCCATCTCCGAGCTCTGCAAACGACCAACCTCGTCCTCCAAACTGGCTTTCTCAAAGGTCAATTGTTTGCAGTTCTGCTAGAGCTCGTGATTCTGCACGCGTGCCCCTTGTTCACACTCAAAGAGTGCTACTGTGTAACTAAACGCCTTCCATGTAAATTTAATCGTTAGTTTATAACACAAAATTGTAAAGTACAACCAATGTGCTCGTTGAATATACTTATGTTCATCATCTTTAACAAAGCAGCGTGACCCCCATGTTGCTAGATGTGCCCCTTCGTACGTTGCCGATCTGCAGGGGGCACAAAACTCTACATACCCTGCACCATGGCGACTTGGTAGCCAATTCTAACATAATTGAAGCCTTCAGGGTATGCAATTCTTGGCCTTGATACAGATGACGGGGCAGGCGCTGGTTCAGCAACCTCACGTGCCGACGCCGGGGGCATGTTGGCAGACCACGTCACAGCGGCTGAGGTGGGCTGAGCTTCCGTGCTCGTCCTTCATCGGATGAGGGGAATGTCATCCTCAGCGTCAGAGTCCTCCCGCGCACGCCTTCTAGAACCTGAGGGCGTAGTGTCAAATTTTTGCTCGGCACGATGTCTTGGTAGCTTGAACTTCTGTGGGACGAACTACGCCCTGGTGCAGTAAGTGGTCGCTCGTCGAACCAGGTTTGCCGTTGGGAACCAGACCCAGCTCCACGGTTCCTCGAGCTTTGTGCTTGTTGACGTTGTCTCTCCAATATGCTGCTCATTTCTCCTGCACAAACAACAACATAAGACTCAGATCGACTAGAAATTCTAGTATGCTATAGAAATATACCTTCGGCATGCAGGTTTGCCACGTCGACAAACCCAAGTAACACAAGCTGCTCCGGGGTAACCAAGGCTTCCAAATCCACTAAACCCCTTGCCTTAACAAGATCTAGCACTCTGTTCTTCAAGTCGACATCACCAAGAGACAGCTGAGGGTAGTTCATATATGCATTTGGTGTATACCACTCTGATATACGGGCGGCAAGCTTGTTATTCATCCTTTCACTTCATGTATCATGAACAAAGATAAACTGTCTCTTCCACCTCGCTACCTTATTTCTGATGTTGGTGAATATCATCATCTTCTCTCTCCTAGAGATGTAGTAACATTTTGTTCAACTGGTGGAAGGGCATAGACGGCACAGGAAGAGCGACTTGAAGACCACCACCTTTGTTGGCATTTCCAACCTCTCACACAACAGCATAAAGCCTATAATGAACTTTATGCTGTTGGGAGTTAGCTGCATTAGGGCCAACTTGTACTCTGCCAGAACATCAAAAATTAGTCCGAGCAGAGGAAAACGTAAACCGGCATCAAAATAGTCTACGTATACTGGCACCCAACCCGTCCTCGATACTGTACACGCCTGTTCGTTTTGTGTCCTAGCTCGGATCAAGATGGTTCTGGGGATCTGGTATTGTCTCACCATTTCCTCCAACTTTTTGTACCACTTCACTGTCGCCGGGCCATCTACAACTTTATGATGCAATGCCGCCCTGAACCTAAAGCCAGCAGGTAGCGTTTTGGGGGCTTTACGAAGGTTATCCAGTCTCCCGCTGATAACCTTACTCTCCCACCCTTTAAATACAACCGCATCCGCCTCCGTATTTATCACCGGCGCACTACAACCACCTTCTTCAACACCCTCGCTTAACTGGGTGTCTCTTTCGTGGACGAATCGTTGGAAGTCGAAGAACGGTGGTCACCAGAACCACCACCTGCGCTCGAACTAGAATTACTCTCCGGCGTGATGGTTCTAGGCAAATCATGCAACTCCGGCGACACTATCATGGCAATAGGCTCCACTGATATAACATCCTTTTCTTCTTCCCCACCCTAGTTACCCCGAAGCTCTCTTACATCATGAAAGAAGCCATTTTTACCTGAGTTTTAGAAACTAGATGTCCTTTCGCTGAAAGTTCTGAGGAATGAGCCTGAAGCGTCTCTGCAACCTTCGCTGAAGAAAATGCTAAAGTACTGTGTCATGGAGCAGAAAATGGCTGAGTAACTGCTTTTGTTCCTTTTCCCCAAATAGTGCTCCTTGAATGTTGTACTCGTGTTTATGGCCCCCTCCCCCCCCAGTTAAACGCATTCACGTGGCAGTCATTTATGGTTAAGTGCACAAAACTCGCCACCTGCAGCTGTCACATCCCCTCAAATGCTGAGCCAGCATTTATTGTGGGAAGGCAGATATCTTCCATTGGCAGAAAAATACCAAACGCCCTGAGCAGATCTCCTCAGAGATTTGCCCCAATTTAAAATTTGAAAAATCTCGAAGGATCAGCGCGTAACAAATCCAAGATTCACCCTAATTTAAAATTTGAAAAATCTCTCTGATTCAGGTCGTAACAAATCAGAGATTCACCTTAGTTTTGAATATCGAAGAATATCGAACGTTAGATCGTTACCAATTCACTCAGATTTGCTTTATATCCCGGAGATCTACATTATAGTGACGATTGAGGTCGCTCATTTTAGTTCGTCTTGGTATTCACACTCCATCAGTGTGGTTTTAGTTTATTCTCTTAATATCAGGACGACCTCAATATGTAAAATCTTTAAAGGCTGGAATGGCTCAACTCGTCCACCATCTGCTCGCCTTCACTTTGCTATAGGAAATCCATTATATGAGATCGCCTTTGTGCGCCCACTTAGCTCGCCAATTAGCATTGAACTCACACAATTGTTTTGACACCAGCTTGCCCACGCATGCTCGGTAGGAAGCCAGTATATACATACACACCAGATTAGACCGCGCTGGCCTCAAGTCGCCCAACTCGGCCATGCGTGAGGTCGATCATAAACCATAAGATGTCACTCCTCATCCCCAGGGTCAATGCTACTAGAACTCTCAACCCAGTTCGTCAACCGAACACTGAGGGGGAAGTAATGTTGGGATTAGGCCTAACACGCGCTTCGAGCCACATGCAACAGGTCCAGTTATATGCTCACAGGCCCAAGATGAGGAGACACACTCACGTGGGCAGTAACACGTGGACCAATTGGATGAATACATGTTTGAACTCATGTCAGTATATGGGGTTATAAATACCCCCAACTACCTCCCTACAAGATATTAACTTCACTACGCTTCTCTCTCTGCAATTACTCTTTGAGAGCATCTCTTTTTGGAAGATTGAGTATTGCTAACTTGAGCATCGGAGTGTTTTTCCCGAGGAAACATCCTCGGGAATTTCAGGTGTTGAAGCAGTTGAAGATATCTACTCTATTGGATCTCGAAGCTACCCAAACGCAAGGAAAAAAATGTAGATAAAAATATAAATTTTATAAATTTTTATATAAAATAATAAATTTTTATTTTTTTTAAAGATGTTAAATTAATATTTTTAATTTAAAAATATTATAAAATTTATATCTATATCTGTACTTCTTTTTCTTTTTCTATCTTTCCGTTTAAACCTCAAAATCGTCCTTAAATTGTTGGATCAAATGCAGCCATTGCACTCCTAAAGGGGTTATGGGCGGCGAAAGAACTATTAATTGATTGGTTTAAGTAAATAGCCCGAAGGGACTATTATTTGGCTGGTTTAAGGAAATAGCCCGAAAAATTTTTGCAGGTGATAATCGTTTTAAAGTTCTATGGATTTTTTTATCCCATATCTTTATTACATCTTTTTATTATAAATATACATAAAAAAATATGGAAATTGATTTTAATTTTAGTGTAAAAGAAATTTAATTAAATAATTAATAAATTAAAAGTTGTTTTATTTTTTAATATAAATTTATAATAAAAAAATATTTAATACACTTTAAATCTATGCCCTTAGGGGCATAGGTTAGATAAATCCAAATTCTATTTAGATCTTATTTTCTGCACTAAATTGCAGTTTTAAAAGAAAAAAACCAACTATACTATACTTTAAAAATTTATTGACAAATGTATTTAATATTTTAATAATGACTAAAATTTAAGTTAGGGTACCATTATGCTATAAAAGTGATGCAGGGGAAGAGTGAAACGTGAAATGAAAAAAAATAAGGTGATAAAATGGGATAAGAGGCCATTACTCTAAGGATATAGAAGCACCACCTTAGAAATACAGATTTCTATCAACTCATCACTCAATGGAATCCACCAAATAGATACAGAGTAGAAAAGATAATTTTCAAGAGAAAATGCTCTAGAAATGGCTTAACACTTCAATTACTTCCTTCTCCAGATGCAAAGATTGAAAAACATAAATGAGCAACTTGGAACTTCCCTCCAAGTTTACGAACTTACAAAACATTAATGAAATAGTTGTAAATATTTGAAAATGTTTGAAAATTCATCCAGAGCTTTAAAAACCACATAGGGAATATAAGGAATGCAAACAAAAACAATTGAATTTAATTTAACAATATGTGGTCAAAGTATCATATTTCTTTTAAAAGGCTCGGATGACAATGAGATTTTATGCATAAAAAACTAGACATCTTGAATTTTAATTCCACATGTACCTTTATACTTCTTTTAAACTGTGAATGACCTCAATCTAAGCTAAAAGTTGGATCCAAAATCAGGTCTTTCACATATTGGACTTGAAGAAATAAATCATATTCCAAATCCTCCAAGTTTTCAGATTGACCTATGGACAATCCCGTGTCAAAAAGTCCCCATCCCTTACCTAAATTGTCGCTATTGCAAAAAAAAAAAAAAAGAAAAAAGAAAAAAAAAAGAACTAACTAGAGAAATTTTGAAGAGAAATAGAAAGGGAAATGCTAAAGGGAAAAGATTATGTGAGAGGAAAAAGGTCAACTCCTACAAATTCCACCTAATTTTATTGAATGAAAAAAAATTAAAATAATAATAATACATAAACATAAAAGTGGTTGACCTGTATTAAAAAGTAAAGGAATACTTATAAAATTATTTAAATATAAACTTGAATTCTCATTGTGATCTCCACTGAGTTTGTTCCCAATTTTGCGACGGGAGAAATGCTGACGTGTGAGGCCGCTCTTTGGCATTTATTTTTGTCCAAAATAATCAAGATTTATTTACAATCGGCCACGTGGTGTGATAATATATCATCTATACCCTTAATTATAAATTTAAAATTTAATTTTTAATATTTATGTATAAAAAAAATCAAAATCCGTCAACAAATTCAGTAGTCATCTCTTTTCATTGGAAATAAAAAATCCTGAATTCAAGTCGCATGACATACAGGTAAGATAAGATAAAAAATAAAAAATAACTGTTTTTTATTGTATAACCAAGATAAAAAAAAAATCAAAATCCTTTTTTAAATACCTACTTACACAATTTACTAATAATTTAATACTAAATTTAAATTGTATGACATAAAAATAAAATAAATTAAAAATGTAAACAAATTATCTTTAATTATATAATAAAAAATATATAAAAAATCTTTTCTTTTCTTTTTTTTTTTGGAAAAGCTAAAAAAAAAAATCTTTTCTTGAATGGAATAAAGGGAAATGGATTGAATAATAATAATCGTGTACATAAAATGGTTGACTTGCATTAAGAAGAATATCCTAATAGTTATGAAATTATTTAAATAATATTTATAAAATTATTTAAATATATTTGAATTTTTTTCTCTTAATTATGGAAACAATATATTAATTTAATTTATATGTATGTAAAAATTGACATATTAATTTCAATATAAAATATATTTTTAATTTAAAATTAATTAATAATAAATAAAAATAGAGTAATTTTTTTATATTTAAATAATATATTTTATTATTACGTCCTCAATATTACCGTAAACACTACACCCAATAACAATACTCCACTTGTCCCAAAAATCACCTGTATAAGTGCTGCCCAGCAGATTACATTGCATGCCTATAATTTCCAGCCAACGGAGGAAGGAGAAAACCATGGGGAAAGGTAGCAGCGTCGATGGTTTCAAATTGGTTGGATTTTCCAAGTTCGTCCGAACCAATCCCAAATCTGACAAATTCAAAGTGAAGAAGTTCCACCATGTGGAGTTCTGGTGCAGTGATGCTACCAACACTGCCCGCCGCTTCTCTTGGGGGCTCGGTATGCAGATGGTGGCCAAATCCGACCTCTCCACCGGAACAATGACGCATGCCTCGTATCTCATCTCATCTGTAGATCTCAACTTCCTCTTCACTGCACCCTCTTCGCCCACTATTGCTGAAGCAGAGAAATTTTCTCATAAGAAAACTGCTTGCATCCCCACCTTTGACCATGCCGCTTGCCGGCTTTCACCGCCTCACATGGCCTTAACGTCCGAGCACTCGCAATTGAGGTCGACGACGCCGAGGTTGCCTTCGCCACCAGCATTGCCCACAGCGCAAAGCCATCTTCCTCCCCCACGGTGCTCGGCAATCGTGCTGTTATAGCTGAAGTCCATCTTTATGGCGATGTTATACTGCGGAGATTGCTATAAACACTCCAATTCGAACCCTGATGATGGAACTGGATGTTTGTTCTTGCCTCGATTTCAAAAGACTGAGGAGAATTTGTCATTCCCACTGGATTACGGTATCTGGCAGCTCGATCATGCCGTGGGGAACGTACTGGCATTGGGTCCAGCAGTGTCCTATTTGATAGCTTTTACTGGGTTTCACGAGTTTGCTGAGTTCACTGCCGAAGATGTTGGAACAAGCGAGAGTGGAGTCAACACGGTGGCGCTAGCCAACAACGATGAGATGGTCTTACTGTCCCTGAACGAGCCGGTCTTCGGGACCAAAGGAAGAGCACGGTACAGAACTATTTGGAACATAACGAGGGCTCAGGGCTACAGCATTTAATTTGGCACTGGTTACTGAAGATATTTTCAGGACTCTCAAAGAAATGAGGAAGAGAAGTTGGGTTGGAGGTTTCGAGCTCATGCAATCACCACCGCCTACGTATTACAATAATTTGAAGAATAGACCTGGGGATGTGTTGAATGATAAGCTGATTAAGCAGTGTGAGGAATTGGGAATTTCGGTTGACAGGGATGATCAGGGGACTCTGCTTCAGATTTTCACTAAGCCTGTGGGAGATAGGTATGTGCATTACTTACACTTAATTCATTCTTTGATCATTTAATTAGTAGATTTTGACATCAATTTGCTACTATAGGAGTCTAGCACTCAATGACATTGTTGAAATGGAATGGTTCTCTAATCATGTTAAAGACTTGAAAATGAACAATTTGAAATCTTGGTTGCTTTAATTTTCGCAAAAGATATTGTACCTAGGTTGATTCAAAGTGTGAAAAAAGAACAGAATTTCAGAGAAACGTTTAGATTGCAAAAAGGTTCTTTTTTTTTTTTTTTTGGTGTTTTTTGCAGGCCAACTATCTTTTTAGAGATAATTCAGAGAATTGGGTGCATGGTCAAGGATGAGGAAGGAAAGGTGTACCAGAAGGGTGGATGTGGAGGGTTTGGAAAAGGCAACTTTTCAGAGCTCTTCAAGTCCATTGGGAAATATGAGAAGACGCTTGAAGCCAGGCGAACTGCATAAACTGCCAACGCATGAGAGAATCATTTGCTTTCTTGCTCTTCTGCCGTACAACATACTTTAATAAGGTACTCAATGAATCTGAGTTTGGTCTAGTGACGTGGGATGTATGTCTACATGGTTTTTTTTCTATCAACTGCATGCCCCCTACGTATTATCAGTTCTGTTCTTATTAATTGTTGTAGGCATTTTACTTAATGTAAATGATTTACTAGATAATAGCCGCGAGCGCACACGCAAATCTCATAATAAAATAAATTATACTGGAATGTTATAATAAATTAAATTACATTTTTAATTTTATAAATATTATATTATTTTTTATGAGTATAAAATATTATTTGCTCTTAAAGATGATTCACTATAAAAAATAAAATGAAAAAAAGAGTAAAATTTATCTTTTTAATTCTCTAACATATCAATATTAAAGAATGATGAAATAATTATTTATTTATGTAGATGCTTTTTTTCTGAACTTGGAGTATTATTCACACCTTTATATAAATTTGTTCTTAATAAAATATATAGCCTAAATAGTATCTTAACATGAACCTAACTTATTAGTGGGTGGAAATAATACTACTTGTTATCCTCTCAACTAAAGTTTGAAAATCCTTAACTTTATTTCTCTCCTCATTCTCCAAAAATTGTAGTAGTTCAAAAAAAAAAAAAAAAAAAAGGCTTCTTAACATTTTCACTTAGAAGAACATATATCATATAGAACACCAAAATCTCTCAAGTTCCATGGCTCTTCGAAAGGATTAATGCCAATAGAAAAATCAAACGTCCTAGCCACGACGGATGAAATCACTAATATTCAACCAAAAAGAAGCCTGGAAAGAGAAAGTAAGGAATTTCTAAATATATATTAACCAAAAATTTCAAAAATTGTAGAACTTAAAAAAAAAAAATAGCATCTTAACATATTCATTTGGAAGAACATATATTCATATAGAACACCGAAAACTCTCAACTTCCATTCGAAAGGATTAATGCCAATAAAAAAATCAAACGTCCTAGCCACGACGGATGAAATCACTGATATTGAACCAAGAAGAAGCTTGGAAATAGAAAGTAAGGAATTTCTAAAAATATATTAACCGAAAATTGGAAGAACATATAGAATACCAAAAACTTGATTTTTTTTTGTTAGAAATAACTTTTGCTCAGTTATAAAACAATTAAATTTTTTTATTTAAAATAAAATAATTAATGTTTTTATTAAAATTTTATTTTAAATTAATTTTTTTAATCTTAGATTGCATAATGGGAAGCAACATTTCTAATCTCTTGACCCTCTCCACTACATGTCATCCGACTCAAATTCAAATATCTTTCACTTCTATTCAAAAGAAGATTATCATTAAATAACTTAAATTGTTGACAATTGGTTATTTTTCATATTTTAACTCTATAGTATTCTTTTGGTTGAATTTAATTTTTCATCTACTAACTATTACTCTTTTTTCATTTTAGTCTAGAAAGTTTAATTTCTTTCAAAATCATTTATAAACTTTGAAAATCATTTCAAATTCATCTATCTAATTAACTTCTCCTAGTTTTTTTAACGGAATCCCATGGCATGCTTATGTGGCACCAATTATGTGGCATAAGCAATTTTGAAAAATTGTGCTTCTCTTTCTTTTCTTTTCTTTTTTTTTTTTAATTTGTTCATCTTAACAATATTTTTACTTTTCCAGTGATAATTTTTCTTTATTTTTTATTTTTAATTTTGTAATAAATTTATATGTTTTAATTTTGATTAACAACTAAAAAAATTATCATTGTCATTATTAGGATAAAATTATATCATTTCTTTTTTATTTAGTTCAAAAAATTAATTTTTATTTGCATTATCTCTCTCTCAAATTAACTTTTGTTTTTTTTATTTTTTTAAATTAAAAATTTAAGAATAATTTATGTTTACTTATATTACCCTTAAAAAGAAATAAAAGATGTAGAAAAACATTTTGTGATGTAATGATTAATTAAAGTAAAAATATAATGATAAGGTTAAAATAAAGAAATATATTTGTTTACCTTAAAAAAAATTAATTTGAGACAAATTTGAAAGTATAGAGCGATAATTATTTTGGGAAAAATGGAGTAAAGTTAAAATGTACTCCCTACATCCCAAAACAATAAGCATTTTTTTATTTAGAATTTGTTTTAAAATAATAGTATTTTAATATTTTAAAGGAAATAAATTTTTTATTTCTACTCTAATTTTATGATTATATCCTAATTTTAATACTCATTCTTATCATGACAAAGTAATGATAGGAAGGATAAAAATTTAGCACTAATGACGTAATATAAATTATATCATTAAATTAATTAATACATATAATATCACAGGTCTTAAAAAAAGAATCAATCATTAAATAATATAGAATATATTTTTTAATATTTCAAATAACATGATATAAGCTAAATTTCAGTTTCAGATTTTAGTTTCAAATTTTGGTACCATTTATCATTATTCTTCAAAAAGTTCTTTATTTTTATTTCTTTATAAGGATAAAATATGTAATAATAGAAATTGTTTCTAAATCTTTAATTTAAAGATAAATTCAAAAATGTTTATTCTTTTAAGATAGAGAAAATACATTTTTAAAATTTTTACATGTAAAAGATTTTTTTTTAATTTTAATTTGATAAAAATAATATTATAATCTTAATTAATTAACAAATTAAGCTAACAATCTTAATTATTTATCATTAGTTTTGATTAATTATAATTTAGTTCATTTAAGGACTTAGTTGAGAAAATTATATTGTGGAATGATTTGAATATAAAACTTAATTGAAAATTTTGTGAAGCTTTTGGCGTCAAAGTGCAATTTTTCAAAACTGCATATGCCACATAATTGATGCCACATAATTGGTGCCACATAAGCATGCCATGGGATCCTGTTAAAAAAACTAATAGAAGTTAATTAGATAGATGAATTTGAAATGATTTTCAAAGTTTATAGATGATTTTGAAAAAAACTAAACTTTTTAGGCTAAAATAAAAATAGAGTAATAGTTAGCAAATGAAAAAATAAATTTAGCCGTATTCTTTTACATTACCTCTTCCTTCTCATTAATTAGCCCATTCCATTCTCCTAAGAAAAAATTACTAATTTATAAACAAAAATAAATTTAAGGAATGGTGCAAAAAATTATTTTTTGAATATATATGTTATTGCTACAAAAAGATTTAAAAGAGATAAAATTGAAATTAAATTTTTTTAAGGCTAACAATAGAGTAGTAATTAAATTGAAAAAAGAAAAAACAAACAAAGAAATAAAAAAAAGGTACAAAATTTAAAGTAGGTTAAATACCCTTTTTGGTCCCTCTACTATAGGGAAAAGCCCTTTTTTAGTCCCTATACTGAAAAAATCCTCTTTATGGTCCTTAAATTTTACAATTCAGTTCTTTTTTAGTCCTTTCGTTAAATTTTGGTTGATGTAGCAAGTTAATTAACGGAAAAATTTATTTATTTTTTCACTTAAATTACATGGAAAATCCATTTCACAAAAGTTGATGACATAGTTAACTTTTTTTTTACCTTTAATTACTTATTTACCCCCATCTTCTTCTTCCCCATCCTTTCCTTTCTTCAGTTTTTTTTTTTTTCTCTTTTATCCCCAAGCGAATCCAAGAGCTGGGTTCATCTTGAACCTAGGTGCCTGGGTTTGTCGTGGGTTCTTGGATTCGCGATGGACCTAGGTGCCTAGGTTCGTCACGAACCCACAAGCTGGGTTCATGGCGAACCCAGGCTGGGTTCATGGCGAACCCAGGCTCTTAGGTTCGAAACATGGGTTTATTGTGTATGTTGTAAAGAGAAAAGAAATGGCGAGATAGGTTGTTGAAGTAGGAAGGGAAGCCTCCTGTGTTCCTAAAGAGGATGAGAATGGTATTCACCATTGATTGTATATATTATGTGTGTTTGTTTCTTCTTTAAGTTGTATGTTGTAAAGAAAACAAAAAAGAAATGGTGGGACAGGTTGTTGAAGTAGGAAGGGAAGCCTCCTATGTTCTTAAAGAGGATGAGAATGGTATTCACAATTGATTGTATATATTATGTGTGCTTGTTTCTTCTTTAAGCTGTTGATTGTATCTCATGAGCCAACAAAACCTATTTAGCTTCTTTCCAGGAAGAAACTATTAGAAACAATTAATTAACCCAAGTCATGGTGTTCAATTGATCATAGAATCATCCAACCAAATCACTCCAATCTTACCAACTAGCATTCTTTTGTGCTTACCTCTTAAACAAGGGTAAGAATGGAAGGAGCTCGTGGGTTCGCCCAGAGGTAAAAAAGAAAAAGAAAAAAAAAAAGGCTGGAGGAAGGAGAAGATAAGGGTAAGTATGGAAGGAGCTCGTGGGTTCATGACAAACCCAAGCGCCTAGGTTCGTGATGAACTTGGCTCTTGGGTTCACCTGAAGGTGAAAAAAGAAAGGCAGAAGGAAGTTGAAGATGGGGGAAGAAGATGGGGGGTAAATAAGTAATTAAAGGTAAAAAAAAGTTAACCCTGTCATCAACTTTTGTGAAATGGATTTTTCACATAATTTAAGTAAAAAAAATAAATTTTTTTGTTAATTAATCTATCACATCAGCCAAAATTTTAACGGAGAGATTAAGAAATGGTTGGATTTTAAAATTTAAGGACAAAAAAATGGATTTTTTCAGTATAGGGACTAAAAAGGGGTTTTTTCCTATAGTAGAGAAATCAAAAAGGGTATTTAATCTTTAAATATCCAAGTTAATAAGAAGAAGTAGAGTTATTGTCACACTTAGTATTGATAATACTACACCATTTTATGATTATTGACCATTTTGCCTATACATCTTCTATTTCTTCCCATTCACCTCATCTCCAATTTTTCTTGTCTTCTTGTCGTTCTCTCTCTCTTGATATTCAATCTTTAATATATGCTCTTGAATAAAATTTTTGAATTTGTTGTCGAAAACTCATTGTGAATTATATAAAAATGTCTCTAAAAAATATAAACAAATGTTCCATTTTTTTCTAGTTCCCTCACCTTCTCTTTAAAATCAATCTAACCCAACAAAATTTTGCTTTTCTTTAATTAGAATTCA